AGATTTCTTGGCACATGATCAACTACATCATCATTCAATCCCAAGACTTAATGACTTTCATCATTACCAAAGCAATGACCACTACAGTCAACTGCTAGACAGAACACTGGCTCATCCCCAATGTCCATCAAATGTCACTAGAAGCAACTGAAGATGAAGAAACAGTTTAGAAACAAGCCCGACGTTGAGTGGCTTCAAGAACCAAGCAAACTAGTGAACTTCCAACAATGTATTCACTAAAATCTCCAAAAAGAGTTCATTTTAATGGAGTAGAGGAAATCTGGAAAGAGCTGAAGATAGCCATCATCTCATGCTGTAAAGAAACCATTGGCTCTAAGACTAGGAAACACAAAGACTGGTTCAGTGAGAATGATCATATCATCCCAGACCACATTGACACGAGGAGAAAAGTTCCCCATGCCTGGCAAAACATCACCAGTGAGATAAAGAGGAGAACTCGTCGAACAGCAAGGGGGGAGTTACAAAGAAGACTAAGACAATCAAGAACCAGTGGTGGACTGAAATCTAAGGAGCTGCAACTCCTTGCTGACAAGCATGACATCTGGGGTTTCTTCAGTACCACCAAAGCAATATATGGACCCTACACCCTTGGTCTCAAACTGGTGTGGAATAAGAATGGCATCCTTTTAAGAGACATAGAATGCCAACATATGATGGAGGGAGCACTTCAAAGAACGCCTAAACCGCAATAAAATTGTTGGCGAGGATGTGTTTGAGGAAATCCCCAAACTCCACATGAAAAATGATCTTGGACTCCCACCTGGTGCAGCACAAGTTGAAGCCTCCATTAGATATATGAAGATTGGAAAGACTGCATGAGTAGTTGGGATTCCAGCAGAGACTTTCAAATTTGGAGGAGCAGAGCTTACCCGTCATCTCTATCAACTGTTCCTAAAAATCTGGAACAAAGAAGAAATCCCTCCTGACCTCACGGATGCTGCCATTGTCACCATCTTCAAGAACAGACAAAGTGGACTGTGGCAATTACCAAGGAATCTACCTGCTCTCCATCACCGGAAAAATCATTGCTAGGCACCTTCTCCCAGTCTTGGAGGCAATCCTTTGAATGTGGTACCTTAGTATGCGGATGACAATGTCATTTCTGTTCTCTTGGAAGAGAATTTTCAAGTCTCAGTGCCTTTACGAAAGCATACTGAAGAATTTGACTCAGACTCAAATCCTTTAACAGCCTGTCCCAGGTCAGGTTCCGGTCCATCCCTCCATTAAGATCAATGAAATCCTCCCAAATGTTGTGAGAAGCTACCTCTAGTCTAAGGCTGCGATTGATGCGGAGATGCAACATCGCATTCAATCTGCAAGCCCCGTCTTTGGATGCCTAAGGACGAGAGTCTTCAATGACCATGACATCCATGCTAATACCAATATCCTTGTATATCTGGCTGTCAGCTTTCTGACCTGTCTATATAGCACTGAAACCTGGACTACATATAGACACTACCTCAAGATCCTTGAAGTAACATCAACATTGTTTGAGAGAGATTCTCCGCATCAGCTGGGAGGGCAGGCGTCCTTGAACCTGCTAACATCACTAGCATCAAGAGCATGATCATCTGAATCAACTCTGCTGGGCCAGCCAACAAGAATCCACAGAACCCATGACCAGTAACATGGAATTTCCGAGGTGGACAATCATGCTTGTTAACGAGTGATAGCTAATGATGACTCTGATTGCTATGTGAGTGCAACTGTATGCTGAACCTGTGGGAAACCGGTGATAGACAAAAATCTTAATGCCTGAACTGGCTGAATCCCTTTGTCAAGGGGGGACAAAATGAATTGGTGGGATCTTGCAAGGAATGTGTCAGTGACCGTGAGGATGAGCTTAAATATTGACATTTGTGAAATACCAGAGATCCATCATGAAACAGAGTCACGTCATGCTACAGCAAAGGAAGCAAGTCAGTAAGTTCAGCTATGTTGAGTGTCAAGATAGTCAGGCAAGGCTGGATGGTCTTTAATACTATGAGTGTAATAGGTAAGACTGGTGAGTCAGTGGAATGGATTGACACATGGAAGTACGATATTGTTACCATCACAGAAACATGGTTGAGGGAAGGGAGGACTGGCAGCTCAACATTCTGGGATATAGGCTCTTTAAGTGAGACAGAGGAAGGTGTAAAAAGGGTGGTAGTATAACTAAGGAGACAATGTAATTAAGGAGACCATTACTGCAATAAGGAAGGATGATATCTTAGAAGGGTCCTCAAACGAGGCTTTGTGATTAGAGCTTAGGAAAGTTAAGAGAGCAGCTACTTCCCTGGGAGTGTATTATAGGCCCTTAAAGAGTCCATGAAGTAGAGAAACAAATATGTAGAGAATTCACAGAGGTGTGTAAGTGTAATAGTCGAGTAATTATACAAGGGGATTTAATCTTTCTGAACATAAATTGGGATAGTCATACTGCTAAAGGTTTCTTGGGGGCAGATTTCTTGAAATACGTCTAGGAGAGTTTATTGAATCAATACGTAGAAGGCCCAACAAGGGACCATGCAGTGTTGGATCTGGTTCTGGGGAAAGAAGCTGGACGAGTGTTCAATGTGGCAGTGGGGAAACATTTAGGCAGTACCGACCACAACACAATATGGTTCAAAAATAGAATTTGCTGGAAAATCTCACAGGTCTGGCAGCACCTATGAAGAAAAAAATCAGAGTTAATGTTTCGGGTCCGGTGACCCTTCCTCAGAATCGGGTATGGTTCAAATTTGTTCTAGACAAGGAAAAAGAGAGCCTGCAAAAGATGGCTTTGGATTGGGGTAAGGAAGATTTTAATAAAATAAAGTAAGTTCTGGCCACAGTTGACTGGGGACAGCTCCTTCTGGATAAGACTACAGTGAAACAGTGTTGGGGGGACATTCAGAAAGGAGCCGAGGACAGTACCCTATAGAGCGAAATGTAGGAGCAATACATTCAGAGGACCTGGATGTCTAGGACCGTTCAGGACTGGATTAAAAAAGAAGAGTAGGGCTTTCAACAAGTCCAAAGGGAGCAACTTAGCTGTAGCCCTAGAGGAATACAGGAAATGCAGGAGGGTACTTAAGAGAGCAATTAGAAGAGTAAACAGGGGCATGAAAAAGGACTTGTGAACTAGATTGGGGAGAATCTTAAGATTTAAAAAAAAAAATACATTAAAGGAAAAAGGTTAACTAGAGAAAATGTAGTGCCCATTAGGGACCAAGGGGGGAACCTGTGTGTGAAGCTTCAGGATATTGGAACGATGTTGAATGAATACTTCTCTTCAGTTTTCACTCTGGAAAAGGAGAACATAGGTATGAAATTTAGGAAATGGGACTGTGAGGAACTTGCACAATTTGACATAGGAAATGGGAGGTCTAGGAGGCTCTGTTGGGCTTAAAAACAGACAAATCCCAGACCCAGAAGAATTGCATCCCGAGCTGCAATGGAAGGAAAGGCAGGAAATTGCAGGGGCTGTGACACACATTTTTAATTCCTCCCTGGCCACAGAGGACTGGAGGATAGCAGCTGTGATTGACCCCTTGGTTGAGAGGTCAATCATGAGAGGGCATAGTTTTAGGGTAAGGGGCAGAAAAATCAGAGGGGATTTGGAGAAAAACTTTTTCACTCAGTGTGTGATGGGAATCTGGAATGTGCTTCCTGAGAAGGAAGTGGAGGCTGGAAACCTTACAAAGCTTTAAAAAATGTTTGGATGACTACTTCAACAATATGATTCAAGTGCAGGAAATTGAGATTAGCACACTTTTAGTGGTAGTTATGTTGGTGCAGACTCAATGGACCAAAGGGCCTTTTCTGCGCTGTGTGAGTCCATAAATCTCTAGTACATCCCTAAAGTGATCCACCAGTATATACATTAAGATGTGCTTGTTACCTTTAGGGGTACCAGGATTACTACCCAGTTGATGCAGCAAGAGATCTTCATCCATTAGCTGACATGTGTATAAGACAAAGGCTTGGGATTCCTTAAATCATCATTGACGCCAGCTGTCTCTCATCTGCAGATAGCTATTTCTAAACCTGTAGATCATGTTTTGCCCTCTCGTTCTCCATCCGTATGGTGCCTCTTGTTCTGCTGCTTCACGCTGTCCAGGATGTACACCAAATGATTGTTGCTGCTGTTGTCTCAGCAGTTAAGTCAGCGCATCAATTCCTTTGTAGCTTTAGGAGCAAAAGAGAAATAGCAGGGTTGATCAGTGCCATGTTGCTTTCCCTGTCAGGATATTGTGAGAACGTTAAGTGAAAACACACGTTCCAGATTAGCCCTCACTCCTTCCCTATGGTGCTACAGATTAGAGCCTCATAGAGGTTGATCGTCCAACTGGTCAAGTCCCAACCAGCACAGGCTCCATGTGTTTCCATATTGCTGTGCGTCTTGAGAGGAAAACCCCTTACTACTATGTCACAGGAACTTGGAAGCACCTACTACAATCCCATTACTTTCTAGCCTGACAAAGCTTTTTCCCAATTTTCTTCTTACAATAGTTATCTTGAGGTAATTTAAAGTGACCCAGGTAAGTGTTAATGGAGTCTTGGCATGAATCAGGTGCCAGGAACCTACTCACCCCAGTGCCACCATCACCATCACCACACCCCTCCACCAAATCCTACCATATCAGATCTCTCCTGGTAATCTTCATGTCCTTTTGAGAATATGGCAATTGCAGTGTGAAGCTTGCAGGCCTAGTGAATATCTACCATTGTCAATAGGAAGTTGACATTTTGAGTGAATGTCCCTTGCTTCCTTGCTACTGTAAACCTCAGAAATCATAAAATGTTAATCAGGCTATGATGTATTTTCATTTAGTACTACATCAGATTAGGTTGCAGTTAGGTGGAATGAGCTACTATTTTCAAATCAGCCCAAACTAATAAACTAAATTGACAGTCTTTAAAGGGGCACTGTAAACAAAAAATGCCCAATTAAATTTATAAATTCAATTTGAATAATGGTTTTGGGAACTAATGATGCTCTTCAACTCCTTCAGTACCCGCTGGCCATGGAAGGCCTTGAGTGCACTGGAGGATGCCACTTACTCTTTCTCCCCATGGACACCCAAGCATAGATGTAACTGCAAAAGAGGAAAGGCAGTTAGGCCAAATAACACACAACTGAATGCTAACTGTACCTATTATTGTCCTCTTGAGCCAGATCCAGGACCAGATTCAGGAAGAGGTCCTCTAATCTGCCCATGTCCTTACAGGGTTGCCACAGATCAGGAACTCCGTATATACATGGAACATGGAGTCCTCAAAGCTGCAAAAAAAAAACCCACAGGTGGCCTGGAAGTCCATGAATGACCTTAACCTTTCAGTGCACAGGACTACAAAGTACAACACCCTCCATGCCAAATTTAATGAAAAAGAAAGTGTTCCTATCCACGGAGCCTCCAACCAGTAGCCCCCACCATCTTCAGATGTCAGGATAGAATGCCATAGTATTCATTGGATGGTTGACAAGGGGACAAGGGGGGCAGAAAATGCAGCCCATACAGGAAACACCTCCACTCCAAGTGAAACAGCTTGGGAGGAAATTACCATGAGATGGCATTCTGGGCACTGCCCCACCAACACAGCTATGTCTGCATCCAATCCTGGCCACCAGACATAACTCCTTGCCAACAGCTTCATTTTGGAAACACCTGGAATGACCCTGGTGAAGTTCAGCCAGTATCTGGTAGCGACCTTTGCACAGGACAATCACTCTTGCTCCCCATAACAATATGCCATCCTCTACTGTGATCTGGTCTCTCCAGTTCCAAAAAGATTTCAGTTCTGGTTGTGACAGCCCTTTGATTTCCACCATCACCACCAGTGGTTTCAGTTTTGCCAGGACCGGATCTTTTTGAGTTCAAAGTCTGATGTTGCCAGCTGTGACTGGAAGTGTGTCCAGAAAATTTAACACCATTACAGACTCTTCCAGTACCACCAGTGGTGGTGTATCTGCCACTGGAAGGCAGCTCAATGCATTCACTACTTGGCCTCCTGGACAGTGTTCCAACTTGTAATTATACACACTTAGTACTAGAACCCATGGCTGAATTCAGCCTGAAGCTGTGGGTGTCACTGCCTTGTCCTTTTTAAGTCAACCTAGCAGGGGTTTGTGGTCTGTTAATATTATATATTTACGTCTGTACAGGTATTGGTGGAACTTCCTGACTCCAAATATGACTGCCAAATCTTCCTTCCTTCAGAGAGCATATTTACTCTCTGCGTGAGTCAAAATCCTGGATGCATATGCTATTAGGTGTTCCTCTCCTTTGGGCCACCCAGGAGCTAATACCACCCTGATGCTATACTGAGAAGCATCACATGTCAATACCAGATCTCACTTGGGATCATAGAGAGTGCCAACACCATAGAGGATGATAGCTGGTTCTTCACTTCTCTGAAAGCTATGGCTTGGCTACACGACCATTTCCAAGGCTAACCTTTTTTAAAAGTTGATGCAAAGGTGCCAGGATGGAGACCAGGTTACGTAAGAACTTTCTGTAATAATTCACCAGCTGAAGAAAAGACCGAAGCTCTGGTACAGACTTGGGAGCTGGGGCACCTTTGATCGCACTCCCTTTTTCTACCAACTGGTATAACCTAGTCTTGTCGACTCTGTAGCCCAAATAGATCAATTGGGTGCCTAGAACACACATTTTCCTTTCTAAGGTATACACCTGCCATGGAGAAACAATTAAGGAGTGTGTCCAAGTACTCTAAGTGCTCCTTATTGGTCTTCCCTGTTACTAGCACGTCATCTAGACAAATGACAACCTGAGGTAGACCTTGTAAAATGTTCTTCATCATCCACTCAAAAATTGCAAAGGCTGACGATACCCAAAATGGCAGTCCTATACAAACTCTTATGGGTATTATTTGTGCCATACGTCGGGAATCCTCATCTAACTGCAGTTGCAAGTACGCATGGCTCATGTTGGACAGCCCCATTGCCAGCTTTGTATATAAAGCCTTTATGTGAGGGATTGGTTATTTATCTAGCTGTGTAAAGCAGTTTACCATTTGTTTAAAATCCCCACAAAGGCAAACCATGCTGTCAGGCTTCACCATCAGTTCGATCAGTGCTGCACATTTTGCAAACTGGACTGGTTTGATGGCACCTTCAATTTACAGGATTTTGCCCATAAGGCAAATGGCACTGGGCAGGCCTTGCAGAATCGTGGAATCACTTTCTGGTCAACATGCAAAGTGACTTTGTCTCCTTTGAATGTCCCTAGACCTTCCTGAAAAACGTCTGGGTATTTAATTCGGACTTCAGTCAGACAGCCTTTTTTGAATCGAAATATGTTGAACCATTAATCTATAAAGGTTCCCTGATATAGATTCTCAGTATTGTTGAGGTCTTGCACAAACTTAAGGGTTGGAGTCCAGAACTATTTTTGTAAAAGACTGGTTCTGCGATCACTGAAACACCGGTATCAACCTCCATTTGAACTAGATGGCCATTTGACCAGAAGTTTATTTTGACTGGTTCTGATTTGAATGTTGCTAAGGAATTTAACTGTTCCAAACCAGATGTAGGTGGGCTTTCTAGGGTGTGCACTTTCTTGGAGTTCTTTTACTCAGTTTAGGTCTAGTGAGATTCTCTTGCTGGCCCAGATCCTGAAGAAAATTGGCTTTGTTTTGGGGTTTTTCTGTGCACTGACCTAGAGTCCCTCTGTTTAGGATATATCCTGAGTGAGGCTATGCAATTGCCTTCACTTAAGTGGTGCTCCCCAAGCTCAGTCAGACTGGCAAGGGTGTCTACTTCCATCAGAATATCGTGCAACTCCTAAAGAGTCAGCGACTTACAGCACGGAAACAGACCCTTTGGTCCAACTAGTCCATGCTGAACATAATCCCAAACTAAACTAGTCCCACCTGTTTGCTCCTGGTTTATATCCATTTCCTATTCATGAACTTATCCAAACATCTTTTCAAATTTGTAATTGTACCCGCATCCACCACTTCCTTAGGAAGTTCATTCCACATACGAACCACCTTCTGTGTAAAAATTTGCCTGTTATATCTTTTTTAAATCTCACTCCTCTCACCTTAATGTGCCCCCTTGTCTTGAAATCCCCCATCCTAGGGAAAATATAACTACCATTAACTCTATCTAATATTTCTGATTGTTTTATAAACTTCTATCAGGTTGCCTGTCAACCTCCTAAGCTCCAGTGAAAAACTCCTAGCCTATCCAGTCTTTCTTTATCACTCAAACCTTCCATACCTAGCAACATCCTGGTAAATCTCTTTTGAACCCTCTCCAGCTTGATAGTATCTTTCCTACAACTAGGTGACCAGAACACAGTATTCTAGTGGAGGCCTTACCAATGTCCTGTATAACTGCAACAGACTTCCCAACTCCTATACTCAAAGACTGAGCAACGAAGGCAAGTGTGCCAAACGCTTTTTTAACTTTGCTGTCTATATGTGATGCATATTTCAAAGAATATATGCTTCATTTGCTGCATTTTCCAATGATAAAGCCAGTAACAGAGTCATAGAGTCAGATATACAGCACAGACACAGATCATTCCATCCAACTCATCCATGCTGACCAGATATCCTAAAATAATCTACACTCATTTGCCAGCATTTGGCCCATATTCGTCTAAACCCTTCCTATTCGTATATCTATCCAGTGTTGTAATTATACCCACCTGCACCGTTTCCTCTGGTAGCTCATTCCATGCATGCACCACCCTCTGCATGAAAATGTTGCCTGTTAGGTCCCTTTTACATCTTACCTCTCTCACCTAAAACCTATGCTGTCTAGTTTTGGACTCCCCTACCCTGGGCAAAATACCATGGCTATTCACTCTATCCATGCCCCTCATGATTTTATAAATCTCTATAAGGTCACCCCTCAGCCTCCAATGCTCCAGAGGAAATAGCCCCAGCCTGTTCAGCCTCTCCCTATAACTCAAATCCTCCAATCCCAGCAACATCCTTGTAAAAACCAAGAGAATTGCAGATGCTGTAAATCAAGAACAAAAACAAAGTTGCTGGAAAAGCTCAGCAGGTCTGGCAGCATCTGTGAAAGAGAAAACAGAGTTAACGTTTCGGGTCCGGTGACCCTTCCTCAGAACTGATGGTGGCTGGGAAAACTGACGTTAAACTGACGTTTTCCCAGCCACCATCAGTTCTGAGGAAGGTCACTGGACCCGAAACAATAACTCTGTTTTCTCCTTCACAATGCTGCCAGACCTGCTGAGCTTTTCCAGCAACTTTGTTGTTGTAACATCCTAGTAAATCTTCTCTGAACACTTTTAAGTTTCACAGCATCTCTCCTAAAGCAGGGAAACCAGAATTGAACACAATATTCCAAAAGTGCCCTGAACAATGTCCTGTACAGCCACACCATGACCTCCCAACTCCTATACTCAATGTTGACCAGTAAAGGCAAGCATACCAAATGCCTTCTTCGCTTCCCTGTCTACCAGTGACTCCAATTCAAGGAATATGAACCTGCACCCCTAGTTCTCTTTGTTCAGCAACATTTGCCAGGACCTTACAATGAAGTGTTTAAGTCCTGCCCTGATCTGCCTTACCAAAATGCAGCACCTCACATTTATCTAAATTATACTTCATCTGCCACTCCTCAGCCCATTTGCACATCTGATCAAGGCCCCATTTTATTCAGGGTAACCTTCTTCACGGTCCACTGCACCACCAATTTTGGTGTTATCTGAAAACTGACTAACCTTACCTCCTATATTCACATCTAAATCATTTATTTAAATTACAAAAAGCAGTTTTTTATGAACGGAAGGTGGATAAATCTCTGAGATGTGGTGGTGTGCACTGTATGGTTTTAAAGAAAGTTAGCGAAGAGATAGCAGAAGTCAAGCTTGAATTTTTAATTCTCTTTCCAACATGAAAAATATGCTAGGATGTAGTATGCAACTGCTGAAGCTTAGGAGAGATGCATAAGCCAGGTAATAACAGGCATATTAATTAATTTCAGTTTTTTCTTTTCAGAGTTGAAGGTCAAATTAGTGAGCATTTAGAAATATATGACATAATCAAGAAAAGCAATCGGTTTTATTAAAGGCGCAGAGACATTCACCTTGG